CTAATCATTTAGCCATCTCCTTTGTCCATGGCTTCGGGAACCGGGGCGGGAACCTGGTGGTTGGTCATGGTAGAGGTGGGTAGTCACCACCTCCCTTTCATTAACATCTCCAAGAGATAAAGGACAAATCTTTTTTACATCAAAGTTGTGGCAGGATGGAAGGGAGAGAGCATAGGAGCCCCACCTAGACTGACCAAAGGTTGCAAGCGCCCCTTAGGGGGCCAGTGGATGTCAGCTGGATGTAAGGGCACGCACTCATATCCAGTGGCTACCCAACACCTGCCCCTTCTGTTCAGGTCATGCTGCAGTCCCTTAGCAGTTTCTCATTAGGGCCTGAAGGCTGGTTTCCATGGCAGTTTGTGATTGCTGCTCTGGCACACTTTGCTGCCCAAACTAGTCTCTACCCTATTGCCTGGCAGCTAGTTCTGTAATAGGTAATCATTGCCTCTTGCCCCAAGCTGCCTCTTCCCCTGCTGCCAGCTCCTGTAAGCAGAGGTCTCCTGACTATCTGCAGGTGTGTCCTTTTTCTCTAATGGGCAGCTCCCTGCCTAGGCAGCAGCGCTTCTTTATGCCTTCCCTCTAGTAGCTGGTTTGAGGTCAGCTGTCTGAGCAATATCATCAGCTGCAGTTGTGTAAAGTAACAGGGAGCCCCAGACTCTCTGTTACAAGATGCAACTCATAGTTTGTTTGGTTCATTGTGCTTACAAAATAGTGGTCTGAGCTACAATTCGCCCTCACTAAACCTATAATATTGAAGATGTTACTTTAGTATCTTAAATCTATACATCTGATTAAAAGTAATTCCTCTGGACAACCACCTAAGCTTGTAAATACCCCTTTGAGAAAACATGGTGCTAGTTATAACCACGTTTATAATTGTAACAGAACCAGTTACTCCCTTTCCATTGTCATTAGTTATATCACATATTCTTCCATTTTATATAACTGGCTTCCACCCAACCTCCTTCACTTCACTGGGACTAAAGTCACCTGTAATACCTCCTTCCCCACAATTTCAAATTCTTCCTTCAGGGAATAAATGTATTAGTTCTTCTTGCTGAAATGGTTGTAAGGAATATTTTAAACATCAGCAAAACCCCTTTTCCCCCTTTTCAAAAACATCTGAACTATTTTTGGTAAAACGTCCCCAAAAAACATAGCCTTAGGCAGACAGCTATATGGAAAACATCAGCATAAATGGTTCACATTTGCAAAGTTATAAGTAGCTGAAAACAGGTTATTTCAATGGAAAGAGTTGGTCAAACTTAACAACAGACATTGCTACCTGCACCATCTCTAACATATTTAAAGGACATATGGGCACTGTCTGTCATGGTGCTCCATCTTGTAAATTTGCTGAATCCAACACTGTAAATCTATGTCTACTGGCATGAAACATTTATTTTCTTTTCTTTATTATTGAAACAAGCACACAGTTCTGTTACATCTGATTTTACAGTAATTCTATCCTGCATACTATAGATGTATGTTTTACTTTCTGTCTTACTTTATTTTTATAACACCAACATAGTTCAAAGGATTAACTCAACTTTCTTGCAATTTTTTTCAACAATTCTTCCTAAAATTATTTTTAGATTTCTTAATATGCATTTAATGAAAAAATAAGAAATTCTGTACATGTTTTAAGTAAAAGTTACAGATATATCTTTACATTCAGCTTTCATTTGTATGCATCATATGAAAGAGTATTAATTACATGATTACAGAATATTTTACAAACAATTAATTTTTTTAGAAACTTAAATCCGCATGGGATACATCTTCCATTACTGGGTCTATGCTCTCCATGAAAATAACTTATACAGCAATTTATACTCAAACTGCTCAATGAATCATACATTATACACAGTAAAGTATTCACCTAGAATGAGGCAGGATGTGTGCAGAACCCTGGTATATTTACTGTTCATATGTGATATTGTGTAAGTGATCACATAATTAAGCACTGTATCAGGGTAAGCATGCTAAAGGGAATAGTCCTTGCTTATTACAGAGATTGAAAGGTAGACCTTTGAGGATAAATTTTAATATAATGATCATCAAACTTTTTTTCTATCCAGGACCCAAGAAACAGCTTGGATGATATTCTAATTCCAAAGAATTCAAAACCAATGTTCCCACTGACTTCAGTGGAGCCAGGGTTTCATCTTTGCAATTTTTATCTTTACCCGAGTCCTCAAATTGTATGTGACCAAAAGGATTCTGAAGTTGGACATTATGGCAAGAAACTATAACTCATTTTTGTTGGAGGCATCCTGAATGCTTTTTTTTTCTCCTTACATTCCATGCAATAGCACTGCATTCATATGGCTCAACTCCAAGAGAAGGTATTAGAACACTCTGGAGTTGGAGAGGCAAGAACTAAGGTTCAATGCAGC